ATGTATATCTATATGGATTCTTAGTGGCAGATCATGTACTTTCATATGGTTTCTTAGTGTCAGATCATGTACATAAATATGGTTTCTTAGTGTCAGATCATGTACATCTATATTGTTGCTTAGTGTTAGATCATGTATATCTATATGGATTCTTAGTGGCAGATCATGTACTTTCATATGGTTTCTTAGTGTCAGATCATGTACATAAATATGGTTTCTTAGTGTCAGATCATGTACATCTATATTGTTGCTTAGTGTTAGATCAAGTACATTCATATTGTTTCTTCGTGTTAGATCATGTACATTCATATGGTTGCTTATTGTTAAATCATGTACATCCATATGGTTTCTTATTGTGAGAATCATGTACATCCATGTGGTTTCTTATTGTGAGAATCATGTACATCCATATGGTTTCTTATTGTCAGATTATGTACATCCATATGGTTTCTTAGTGTCAGATCATGTACATCCATATGGTTGCTTAATGTTTGATCATGTACATCCATCTGGTTGCTTAGTGTCAGATCATGTACATTCATATGGTTGCTTTGTGTCAGATCTTGTACATCTATGTGGTTTCTTATTATCTGATTATTTATATACATATGGTTCTTAGTGTCAGATCATCTACATCCATATGGTTGGTTAATGTTAGATCATGTACATCCATATCGTTTCTTAGTGTCAGATCACCTACATCCATATGGTTTCTTAGTGTTAAATCATGTACATATATATGGTTTCTTAGTGGCAGATCATGTACATCCATATGGTTTCTTAGTGTCAGATCATGTACATCCATATGATGGCTTTGTGTAGAATCATGTACATCCATATGGTTTCTTATTGTCAGATTATGTACATCCATATGGTTTCTTTGTGTTAAATCATGTACATTCATATGGTTGCTTATTGTTAAATCATGTACATCCATATGGTTTCTTATTGTGAGAATCATGTACATCCATGTGGTTTCTTATTGTGAGAATCATGTACATCCATATTGTTGCTTAGTGTCTGATCATGTACATCCATATGATTTCATAGTGTCAGATTATGTACATCCGTATGGTTGCTTAATGGAAGATCATGTAAATTCACATGGTTTGTTATTGTCAGGTTATATACATCCATATGGTTGCTTAATGTCTGATTATGTACATCCATATGGTTGCTTAGTGTTAGATAATGTAAATCTATGTGGTTTCTTAGTGGAAGATCATGTACATCCATACGGTTTCTCAGTGGCAGATCATGTGCATCCATATGGTTGCTTAGTGAAAGATCATGTACAACCATATGGTTGCTTGTTGTCTGATTATGTACATCCATATGGTTTCTTATTGTGCGATTATGTACATCCACATTGTTTCTTTATTTCCGATTATGTACATCCATATGGTTTTTTAATGTTAGATCATGTACATCTATATTTTTGCTTATTGTCAGATTATGTATATCCATATGGTTGCTTAATGTCAGATCATCTACATCCATATGGTTTCTTAGTGTTAGATCATATACATCTATATGGTTTCTTATTGTCAAATCATGTACATCCACATGGTTGCTTATTGTCAGATTATGTACATCTATATGGTTGCTTAGTGTCAAATCTTGAACATCCATATGGTTGCTGAGTGTTGGATCATGTACATACATATGGTTGCTAAGTGTCAGATCATGTACATCCATATGGTTTCTTAGTGTCAGGTCATGTACATCCATATGGTTGCTTAGTGTCAGATCATCTATATCCATATGGTTGCTTAGTGTTAGATCCTGTACATCTTTATGGTTTCTTAGTGGCAGATCATGCACATCCATATGGTTTCTTAGTGTTAGATCAAATACATCTATATGCTTTCTTACTGTCAAATCATGCACATCCATATGGTTTCTTATTGTCAAATCATGTACATCCATATGGTTGCTTATTGTCAGATTGTGTATATCCATATGGTTTCTTAATGTGAGATCATGTACATTCATATGGTTTCTTATCGTCAGGTTATATATATCCATATCGTTTGTTAGTGTACGGTCATGTATATCCATATGGTTGCTTATTGTCAGATTATGTATATCCATATGGTTGCTCAGTGTCAGATCATCTACATCCATATGGCTTCTTAATGTCAGATCATGTACATCCATATGGTTTCTTAGTGTCAGATCATCTACATCCATATGGTTGCTTAGTGTTAGATCAGGTACATTTATATGGTTTCTTAGTGTCAGATCATGCACATCCACATATGTTTTTTTAGTGTCAGATCATGTACATCCACATATGGTAGTTTAGTGGCAGATCATATGTTTTCTTAATGTCAGACTAAGTACACTAGCAACGAATTTTTTTATATGATAGCATGTCTCCTTGGTGTTTGTTTCATCCTTTTTTCAATTAAATATGTCACAATTTCTGCCTTACTCAAGCCAATGAGATACTAAACTCAACCCAAAGAAACACAGTGTATGTCACTTCAACCCATATCTTCACTTAATCAATATCTTTAGGTAGCAAACCGTTTGTAAGTGGGAAAAGTCCCATTTGTATATTATATGCATAGCCTTAATCTGTATATAGAATATTTGTATATTATATGTATAGCCTTAATCTGTATATAGAATATTTTTATATTATATGCATAGCCTTAATCTGTATATAGAATATTCGTATATTATATGCATAGCTTTAGTCTGTATATAGAATATTTGTATATTATATGCATAGCTTTAATCTGTATATAGAATATTTGTATATTATATGCATAGCTTTAATCTGTATATAGAATATTTGTATATTATATGCATAGCTTTAATCTGTATATAGAATATTTGTATATTATATGCATAGCCTTAATCTGTATATAGAATATTTGTATATTATATGCATAGCCTTAAGCTGTATATAGAATATTTGTATATTATATGCATAGTTTTAATCTGTATTATTTTCACTAGTTTAAATTTGTTTCTGTACACTGTCTCTAGACCCGTTACGTTGCTTCTTTCTTGCAGAATGAAATTTTAAGTCTTTATATGAACCAGATGATATACATATATATATTATTTAATTCCCTCAAGCAACTTGCTAATATTAAATCCTAAGGTTGTTCCAAATGTCAGTAAATGACTAAGAACTCCTCATCAGTTAAGCCTGAAAAGCACTTTCTAGCTGTGATCTATCATAGAAGACTTTAAACCCGGATGTATACTACAATACGTCACTCTTTAATCCTTTGGCTTGTGATAGTCATTTTATTTCTATTTTATAAAGTTTGTTAACTAAAAATACTACAAAAACCAGTTTGTTGATTATGAGCTGTAACTTAGCCTTTCAGTCATTTTAAATTCAGTGTCTTATCCTGCCAACAAACTCTTTATATTCTAAAATCTAAATCCAAACTGTTCAAGGTCTACTACATCACGTGATCGTTCAAACAGCGTGTTTTGGGCCACCTGTCGCTAGAGCTTAAGTGCTCCTTTTAATGACTCGGGTCTTTTAGTGTTTCTTCGATACCCATTTAAACGAAATATGTTAAATCTGACGGAAACCTTTCATGTGTACAAATCATCAAAGTTGGAATAAAAGGACCAGCCATATAAGATGTGATATTTGCTGAAAGAAATAGATAAGAATAAAAAAAACAACTTTTGATTGATTTTGATTCATAATGATTGAAATTACAATGATTTTTCAATCTGTATATTTTAACTTAGCAAAAGAATCATGAAAAATTAAAGGTTTTGTTGAATGGATACAGCTGCCATTTGACGACAATATTCTTATTGATTTTAATCATTTTAACAGTTGTGGAAGCGAAAAACTATATATGACCATTTCATTACATCTGCGAGTTAAGCTCAATTATATTCACTGATCGGTACAAGGTGATGTGTCTATACAGTATATACTATTTTATTTATTACATATTTTACTTTGTCAACAAGAAGCCCCCCCCCAAGTGGCTTATAACGCTAAAAACTGGGTTTCGATACCCGTGGTGGGCACAGTACAGATAACCAATCATGCTGAACAGTAAACAAGAAAATTATTTAACTACTTTTTTTCTTTAATATTTATTATTTTTCATCTATAACACATATTGTATTGTTCTTCATATGTGATGTTAAAATGTTTAGAACTGTTCAAAAACAGCATTTAGAACGGGTGTGGCAGTACATCAGATTTGACCAAAAGTTAGGTCCTATATAATCATAATATTGTCTTTAATTCTTATTTAGCAGGAGCCATTTTATTTTGTTGTTGTTTTCCATCAGGAGACAAGGAACCACTACTGTGACTAGACATCAGAGATCTGGGGAAAGAAATGTTAATATTTACAACTTAGAAATATGATAAATCGGGGTTGTAATACAGCTTGCTGTTGTATTCAGAGTTTCAAGCGTTGTGTTTTGTCAGTTTTATACGCATTTCCTAATAATAAACGTTCATAGTTACAATACCCCTAGTTGACAGGACAACACGAGCGAAGAACTTATTTATTGAATATCACCTTATCCTCACTGCGTCAGCGACAAGTGGACGGACTTACAAGAATAAAATCTGAAGTTCGATTCCCCGTGGTGGAAAGAGCGAAGATAGCTGATTAAGTAGCTTTGCACTAAAACAAACAAACAGATATTGCATGAGAAACTTATTGATTTTTAAAGTTAGTGATTCTGATGACTGAATTTACCAGAATTTAAGCCAAAATTCTACGGAATAAAACAGTCCGATGATACTTATTTAAAGCGTTGCTTTATGTATTGGCGATAAATGAAAAGTTATTTTGTTTAAAATGATGTTCTTCAAATATTTTTACTGTAGGAGGTAACGATACGTCGAATGGTCAGTAAAGAAAACCTGGGTTTGTGTTTTTCTTCTGGTTTCTCAGAAGAAGCTCACACAAGTGTCTTTATAACTCAAGTAAGTTTTTATGGTTTTACTTTCTTAGTTGACGTTCATTCTTTAAAATCAAAATATCTCGTGTTTATGTTTTTTTTATGTTTAGAGTTTTATGATCCTCTGGTTATCAACTTTCAACTCATTTATTCTAAAAGAGATGTATTTAAGAACAAACTAGTTCAAAACAGCTACTGTTCTTACAAAACTCAAACGTAAAAGCTGGCTTCTGTTGACAGATAGAAGAGGGTAGTCTTGCTGAAAAAGATGGTCGTCTTCGGGAGGGAGACCAGGTGCTGCAGGTAAGGCCAACCAGGATTTTATAAAGTTTCTAAATTAAAAACCGTGAAATTAAAATCCCCAATCATGTCATGTGTGTCCATCATAAATTCCCCTATTTCTTTTAGGATGATGTCCCGTCATGATGGCGTACTTGTTTCTATTATTATGCTGATCATGTTTAACATGTTGATGTACTTATAGGAGTGGTTGTTAATGCTAGGTTGGGCAAGTGATTGACTCGTCTTAAAGGTTACGGAAGGAGTAAATGATTGACACTTCTGACAGGTTATGGAAGGAGTAAGTAATTAACACGTCTGACATGATACGGAAGGAGTAAATGATTGACACGTCTAAAAGGTTACGGAAGGAGTAAGTGATTGACTCGTCTTAAAGGTTACGGAAGGAGTAAGTCATTAACATGTCTGACATGATACGGAAGGAGTAAATAATTGACACGTCTAAAAGGTTACGGAAGGAGTAAGTGATTGACTCGTCTTAAAGGTTACGGAAGGAGTAAGTCATTAACATGTCTGACATGATAC